CATGGTGATCAGACCTGTTATCTTGGCCTCATTTGCACCTTGTTTTAACTAATCTGAGGTGATAAGGCACTTAGTACCCATAGAAATGGACTGGAATTATTGAATCTACGTATGTAACATCACAATCTTCCTGGTTTTAAGAATAAAGCTGTTTTTGTGCTTTTGATATAAATACATACTCTATAATAAAATGTTTGACTAATTTATATGGTAGTATTCATCAGCCTGAATTTTTTTTTAACCAATGACATAGTTATAGAAGTTTTTTTGTTGTTTGTTTTTTTCTGTTTTGGAGCAAGCTCTTGCTTTTTCCTTCCTATCAAATGGAGAATGAACATAGGAATAAAATCCCCAGTTTCACAGAAATGTAACTTGAACCATTACTTTCCATTCTTCTCACTTTTCCCCAGGATTTGCCTGTAAGCTTTAAAATTCTTTTGAATTTCATTTTGCCTTAGGTTAGAGCTATTAAAAACTGAAGACTGGAAGGAAATTATCAACAAACTGAGTAAACTATTCCAGAAGGATTTTTTGGCTTTTGTTTTCTAAAACAGAAGAACTATTTAAACTTTGGCTATGTGTATTCTTTTACTTTCAAAGTGAAGTGTTGTATCAGTGTGAAAGTGATTGGATTTATTTTGGGAACTACTGACTGATGCCATAATTTGCACTTAAAGACTATAACTTAAAATTTAGCAGTACTATAGTACTCAGACCAATAAATTGATATCCTTTTTATTTTTCTTTATTTTGCTTTACTACTAAGAACTAACTCCTATTAGGAGAAATGTCTTCTGTTTCTTAAATAATAAGAGTATACTAAGCAAAGGAATAATTTATATTTCACGTTGGACAATTTTCTCCAAACTATACAAACCATGGAAAGTCCAAACAAATAAGTGAAACAACTTTGACATCAAAGTGTCCATCAGAGATAATTTCATTTGAGAAAATTAATCTTCCAATAAAAGATTTTATTTAAGATTTTTTAGAAATAGTTTTCACTATTCCCTGTTAACTCAGTGTCATTTTATTAATGGTGGTGGAAATAATACTGATTTAAGATTATTCTCTAGGAGAGATAGACGAGTAACATTCTCATCCAATTGTACCATTAGTGGGCTCTTTCAAATATTGCCTAAAAGCTCACAATCTCCTGTAACTTCTCTCTAGGAAAACTGGGACTTCTGTCCGCCTGGCATTCCTATTACCCTCTTAAAAGTGAACTAATTAGATGGTGCTCAAAGAACATGGATATAGTTTAGTAAGTAGATTCTCTTACAGTATGAAAACATTGTGGGTTTAGGCAAAGTGATCCTGAAGTTAATCTTGGCATATTTTCAGAGAAAAATAAAAAGATGTCAGTTTACTGTTCTCAAAGTCAGTCATGTATTTCAGTTCTTAAATTGATGTGGGACAGAAACATACTTGTCTCAGCTGAGGGCCAGGCTTTTCATTTCATTGCTGCTATATCATATGCATTTTAAAAGTCTATGCATTCATTTCCCACCTGTAATGGACATGTACGTACTATTTCACAGGTCTTCTAAGAAGCTGACTCATCTAATAAGTATTTATTTGCTTGCTTACTATGTAAGCTAACTGGGGGGAGGGTACAAAGATGAATAAAAGTTGATTATGAATTGCTTACCATCTAATAATGAAGTTGAAGCCATTCTCATAAGGCTTGAAGAATTAGATTTAAGGTTTGATCTTTTCTAAGTATGAAAATGATTTTTTTTAATTCTCACATATTTCACTTGTTTCTTTAAATGGCATGATTTGTCATGCTATTTACTCTTCAAACACTTAAGAGTCCTTTGGTAAAATATGACACCACCAGACTGATTTACACTTTGTCGTGCAATTTGACATGCACGACAGTTTAACTTTTTACTCAATGCTATATGGAAAAACGTGATCATTAGTGAGCTAAAGAAAAAAAAAAAAAGCTAGAGCTGGGTGTGGACTCTGCAAAGCATATGGGCTTTCACCAGAAGCTTTAAACACAGCTAGACTGTTCTGTGTTTAAAATTTTTATAACTTCTAAAATCAGAATCTTGAATTGCAAAGATAGGAAGGCTGTTTCTGCAGTTTACCAGTGTCTTGGAATATTTTCTTCTGTTAATGAAAAGACAACTTATAAACATGTCTTAAAATACAAATTTATTGCTGTTGGTTACAGTATTACAGAAATTTAATATAATCTGAGGTCTGTAATTACCATGATTTGTTGTTAACATAGGTAAGTTTTGTCACAAAGTATGAATGTCCAAAATATTTTGCTCAAATACCATTGTAAATAGCTGGAGGGGAAGCAGCTGTGGGGTAGGGTTTAGAAATCTGAACTATTTCAAATGGAATTAAATAAGATTTCTGGATGGTACTAACTGCCACTTTGCATTTCCCACAGCACATTCTGCTTATGAAATGTGTACCAAAATAACTTGTGGTACTCTAGAAAATAAGGTAATGGGTTGAAGTCTTATTAGCTTTTAACTAAGGCATAATAGCTTCTGGCCATGGCATTCAACTCCAGACATTTTCATGTGACACATAAATCATAATGATAGTTATTATAGCAAAAAACAAATTCTTTTTGTAATAGTGCAGGCGTTTCCCAAATGGATGTATGTGCAAAACTTTGGGTTGTTTTGGGAGTGGGGAGGGAATGATCACAGGAAGAAGGGTCTTAATTTTCATAGCTATGTTCTTCTAGCCCTCTTTTTGATTTCCAAATCTCCTGAAGGTGTCAAGAAGGCCAGTATGGCTGCAGTACTATGGCAGGAGATAAAGTGTAAAATGAAACCAGCCTATGTACCTAAAACAGTACTGTTTTAAGACAATTATTATTTAGAAAGCAGACACTAATTCAGAAGCAAATGAGACATCAGGGCAGCAGAAGGGAAGGTGAGATAGAGTGGGCCCTGTGAATTACCAAAGACAATGTAATATCCACAGTTCTAAATTTTCATTTAATTCTAATACACTGATATTAATGTATGTTTGATAATTCATAAGTTTAGTAGTTCCCAACATTTTTAGAATGCACATAATATTAACATTCAAATAAGGCATTAAAGGAAGTTTTGTGAAGGATGAAATGTTTACCATAATACTTTTTTAAAGCCTTGGTACATTTTTGAAAAATCAGTATTGAATTTTTTAAAATCTAAGAAAAGTAAGTTTTTTTTCCCCACAAGATATGTAAGAATCGCTTGCTGGCATTTGTATTTTCAGTGCCTAGCATAAAACGGGCTAAATTTTCAAAGGCAGTTAATAATTGTTTATACGATGACTTGTTTCATTTCATCTAGCACCAAGTAAGAGACTGAAGATATTGTCGGATTTCTCCTTTACCTCTCATTGCCCTGCTCTTCCTAACAGGCCACCGTGTAAGCACGCATCCCGTTGCCCCACTAAGGAATCAAATCATTTTCGTTTTAAAATGGCTGCTCAGATTACATTCACCGGCAGAATTCTTCCCCATTAAGGTAGGATAGCAGTTAACACTAGTAGCTGTCAACTTCTTTGATTAGGAATAAAGAACTCTTCCAAGCAAAATCAATCAGTTTCCTGTTTTTTTTTAACATGTCATGTAAATCCTTTTAATTGCTACACCTTTACTAATCATGACTGTTATTTATGTCAAGGGAATTTTCCCCAGGCAAACATGATTGATTTCCTAATGAAAAAGTATGCTTATTTTACATAGTGCCATGGGTTTTCTCTTATGCTTCTTTCTTTCTTTCTGTCTCTCTCTTCTCTTTCTTTCTTTCTCTTTAATTTGTTACTCATCAAGGCAGATCATACATTTGGATCAAAAAGAGAAACTGGCAAGTAGATCCTAAAGCACACATTTCTTAACCTGAGTAACACCTGAAAACATAAGAGTTTAATTACATATTCTATTGAAAATTCAACTTTGGTGCTTTTGCAAGAACTTATGATGTCAATTTCTAACAAATCATATCCCTCAGTACACAACTATTTTCAAAAGAAAATAAGTCATAGAAAAATATATTTTCCTATATGCTAATCAATACACTTTTATAGCAAATCGAAAATCTGGAGTAAACTGAAAGTATGTTTAACAATAAAATATAGCATATATGGCTACTATAAGTTTGCTAGTGTAAAGTATAAAAAAAATAATAGACACCTCAGTTAGAGTCAGGAGACCAGAAGGGGGAGCTCTCATGACGTGAAGATAGTAGAGCCCAACAGAAGAAGACAGACTCTCCTTTCCTGGCAAGGACTCAGCCAATGAAAAGCCACGGACTCTTTGTTTACTATAGCCCTCCCAACTTCCTTTTCCCTCTATAAAAGCATTCTCCTTCCCTTGCTGTGAGGAGGACTTGCACATGGCTCACCATGGTTGCAGACCCCAAATTGCAATTATCTGATGATCTCGAATAAACCCATGCTGCTGGAGAAATATCTGGCAGTCTATTTGTTTCAGGTCAATAAAAGGCAGCAGTGAATTTGCATTCTGCAACTAATCTGTAAATCCTGTTGCTTTTTTTCTGGAATTCTGTAGACAAGTGTCCCACAAAACTGTGTACCACAGTGCTAGAGATCTCTTTTTTAGCATTAGCCTACACAAAAGCCTCTGATAAGACGCTGCACAAGTGACATGGAATTTTTTTTTTTTTACTTTTCAAGAAAAATAAGGAAACTTTATCAACTACTCCTGAACAAAACTTAGATTATTACCAACTGCTCTTTTAATTATGCTCAGTAATTTTCAAAAGTTGAGACATCTCTGATATTTTTTAATTGTGCATCCATAGAAGATAACTGGATAAAACACAATAGACATTTCAAAAGATGAATCTTCACATCTGACTCATTTGGCACATCCTTAATTTCCAGAATAAAATCAGCAGAAATAAAACAATTTTCAAAGAATTTATACATGCCAGAGTCTTAGGACAATGCACTTCTAAATGCACAGACAAGGAGCTTCTGCTCATCTTACTAGTTATACGCACTTTTCCTCAAGGAGTAACTGATGCTTTCTGGTTTATTTGTGGAACTTTTGTTTGTAGGAAAGCATATACACATGGCCAGATCTTGTTGGTTTCTGTTCCAGAGAATGTTTCCAACACCCCTTTTTTCCTAAGGATGAAAAACAAAAAAAAGACAGGTCTGAGAGCATAAAAAAAGAAAATCACAGGCCAATATCACTGATGAACTCAGATGCAAAAATCCTCAACAAAATATTAACAAACCAAATTCAACAGTAAGGATCATATGCCATGATGAAGTGGGATTTATCCCAGGGATGCAAGTTTGGTTCAATACCTATAAATCAATGTGATACACCACATTAACAAATTGAAGAATAAAAATCATACAATTGTCTAAATAGATACAGAATAGCTTTGGACAAGATTAAACATCCATTTATGATAAAAACTCTCAACAAAATGGGTATGGAGGGAACATACCTCAATGTAATTAAGGCCATATATGACAAACCTACAGCCAACATCATACTCAATGGTGAAAAGCTGAAAGCATTTCCTCTAAGATCAGAAACAAGACAAGGATGCCCACTCTCACCGTTTTTATTTAACATAGTATGGAAGTCCTAGCCACAGCAACCAGACAAGGGCGGGAGGGAAAGGAATCCAAATTGGAAAGGAAGAACTAAAACTCATTTTGCAGATGACGTGATTCTATATATAGAAAATCCTAAAGATACCACCAAAAAACTGTTAGAGCTAATAAATGAATTCAGTAAAGTTGTAGGATACAAAATTAATATATAGAATTGTTGCATTTTTTTAATATTTAAATTTTATTCTTTCATACAGCAGGATCTTATTAGTTATCTATTTTATACGTATTAGTGTATACATGTCAATCCCAATCTCCCAATTCATCCCACCCCCACCCCCACCCCCACCACTTTCCCCCCTTGGTGTCCATACGTTTGTTCTCTACATCTGTGTCTCTATTTCTGCCCTGCAAACTGGTTCATCTGTACCATTTTTCTAGGTTCCATATATATGCATTAATATACGATATTTGTTTTTCTCTTTCTGACTTACTTCACTCTGTATGACAGTCTCTAGATCCATCCACGTCTCTACAAATGACCCAATTTCATTCCTTTTTATGGCTGAGTAATATTCCATTGTATATATGTACCACATCTTCTTTATCCATTTGTCTGTCGATGAGCATTGAGGTTGCTTCTATGACCTGGCTATTGTAAACAGTGCTGCAATGAATATTGGGGTGCATGTGTCTTTTTGAATTATGGTTTTCCCTGGGTATATGCCCAGTAGTGGGATTGCTGGGTCATATGGTAATTCTGTTTTTAGGTTTTTAAAGAACCTCCATACTGTTCTCCGTAGTGGCTGTATCAATTTACATTCCTACCAACAACAGTGCAAGAGGGTTCCCTTTTCTCCACACCCTCTCCAGAATTAGTTGTTTGTAGATTTTCTGATGATGCCCACTCTAACTGGTGTGATGTGATACCTCACTGTAGTTTAGATCTGCATTTCTCTAATAATTAGTAATGTTGAGCAGCTTTTCATGTGCTTCTTGGCTATCTGTATCTCTTCTTTGGAGAAATGTCTATTTAGGTCTCTGCCCATTTTTTGATTGGGTTGTTTTTTTAAATATTGAGCTGCATGAGCTGTTTATATATTTTGGAGATTAATCCTTTGTCTATTGATTTGTTTGCAAATATTTTCTCCCATTCTGAGGGTTGTCTTTTCGTCTTGTTTGTAGTTTCCTTTGCTTTGCAAAAGCTTTTAAGTTTCATTAGGTCTAGGTCCCATTTATTTTTGTTTTTATTTCCATTACTCTTGGAGGTGAATTAAAAAAGATCTTGCTGTGATTTATGTCAAGAGTGTTCTTCCTATGTTTTCCTCTAAGAGTTTTATAGTGTCCGGTCTTACATTTAGGTCCCTAATCCATTTTGAGTTTATTTTTGTGTATGGTGTTAGGGAGTGTTCTAATTTTATTCTTTTATATGTAGCTGTCCAGTTTTCCCAGCACCAATTATTGAAGAGATTGTCTTTTCTCCATTGTATATCTTTGCCTCCTCTGTCATACATTAGTTGACCATAGGTGCGTGGGTCTTTCTCTGGGCTTTCTATCCTCTTCCATTGATCTATATTTCTGTTTTTGTGCCAGTACCATATTGTCTTGAGTACTGTAGCTTTGTAGTATAGTCTGAAGTCAGGGAGCCTGATTCCTCCAGCTGTTTTTTTCCCTCAAGACTGCTTTGGCTATTCAGGATCTTTTGTGTCTCCATACAAATTTTAAGATTTTTTGTTCTAGTTCTGTAAAAAATGCCACTGGTAATTTGGTAGGGATTGCATTGAATCTGTAGATTGCTTTGGGTAGTATGGTCATTTTCACAATATTGATTCTTCCAATCCAAGAACATGGTATATCTCTCCATCTGTTTGTGTCATCTTTGATTTCTTTCTTCAGTGTCTTATAGTTTTCTGAGTACAGGTCTTTTACCTACTTAGGTAGGTTTATTCCTAGGTATTTTATTCTTTTTGTTGCAGTGGTGAATGGGATTGTTTCCTTAATTTCTCTTTCTGATATTTCATTGTTAGTGTATAGGAATGCAAGATATTTCTGTGCATTAATTTTGTATCCTGCAACTTTACTGAATTCATTGATTAGCTCTGGTAGTTTTCTGGTGGCATCTTTAGGATTCTCTATGTATAATATCATGTCATCTGCAAACAGTGATAGTTCTACTTCTTCTTTTCCAATTTGTATTCCTTTTATTTCTTTTTCTTCTCTGATTACCGTGGCTAGGACTTCCAAAGCTATGTTGAATAATAGTGGTGAGAGTGGACATCCTTGGCTTGTTCCTGATCTTAGTGGAAATGCTTCCAGTTTTTCACCATTGAGAATGATGTTTGCTGCAGGTTTGTCATATATGGCCTTTATTATGTTGAGGTAGGTTTCCTCTATCCCCACTTTCTGGAGAGTTTTTATCATAAATGAGTGTTGAATTTTGTCAAAAGCTCTTTCTGCATCTATTGAGATGATCATATGGTTTTTATTATTCAATTTGTTAATATGGTGTATCATATTGATTGATTTGTGTATATTGAAGAACCCTTGCATCCCTGGGATAAATCCCACTTGATCACGGTGTATGATCCTTTTAATGTGTTGTTGGATTCTGTTTGCTAGTATTTTGTTGAGGATTTTTGCATCTATATTCATCAGTGATATTGGTCTGTAATTTTCTATTTTTATAGTATCTTTGTCTGATTTTGGTATCAGGATGATGGTGGCCTCATAGAATGAGTTTGGGAGTGTTCCTTCCTCTGCAATTTTTTGGAAGAGTTTGAGAAGGATGGGTGTTAGCTCTTCTCTAAATGTTTGATAGAATTCACCTGTGAAGCCATCTGGTCCTGGACTTTTGTTTGTTGGAAGATTTTTAATCACAGTTTGAATTTCATTACTTGTGATTGGTCTGTTCATATTTTCTATTTCTTCCTGGTTCAGTCTTGAAATGTTATACCTTTCTAAAAATTTGTCCATTTCTTCCAGGTTGTCCATTTTATTGGCATAGAGTTGCTTGTAGTAGTCTCTTATGATGCTCTCTATTTCTGCAGTGTCTGTTGTAACTTCTCCTTTTTCATTTCTAATTTTATTGATTTGAGTCCTCTCCCTCTTTTTATAGAATTCTGTTGCATTTTTATACACTAATAAACTATTGGATAAATTAATAAAATCCCACTAACAACTGCATTAAAACAAAAACAAAAAACCCTGGGAATAAATCTAACCAAGGAGGTAAAAGAGCTGTACTCAGAAAACTATAAGGCACTGAAGAAGACACAAAAAAAACAGAAAGATATACCATGTTCATGGATTGGAACAATATTGTTAAAATGACCATACTACGCAAGGCTATATACAGATTCAGTGTAATCCCTATCAAAATACCAATGTCATTTTTCATAGCACTAGAACAAATAGTTCTAAAATTTGCATGGATACACAAAAGACCCTGAATAGCTGAAACAATCTTGAGGAAGAACAGAGCTGGAGGCATCATGCTCCCTGACTTCAGACTGTAATACAAAGCTACAGTAATCAAAACAGTATGATACTAGCACAAAACCATATATATAAATCAATGGAACTGAATAAACAGCCCAGAAATAAACCTGCACTTGTATGGTCAATTAATCTATGACAAAGGAGGCAAGAATATACAATGGGGAGAAGGCAGCCTCTTCAGTAAATGGTGTTTGAAAAGCTGGACAGCTACATGGAAAAGAATCAAACTGGATTACTCTCTCACACCATTTACACAAAATCAAGAAGGATTAAAGACTTAAATGTAAGACCTGAAGCCATAAAACTCCTAGAAGAAAACAGAGGGAGTATTCCCTTTGAAATCAGTTTTAGCAATATATTTTTTTGGATCTGTCTCCTCAGGCAAGGGAAGCAAAAGCAAAAATAAACAAATGGGGCTACATCAAACTAAAAAGGGTTTGCACAGCCAAGGAAACTATCGACAAAACGAAAAGGCAGCCTACTGAATGGGAGAAGATATTTGGAAATGATTTATCTGATAAGGGGTTAATTCCAAAATATACAAAGAACTTATACAACTCAACATCAAAAAAATAAACAATCTGATTAAAAAATGGGCAGAGGACCTGAATAGACATTTTTCCAAAGAAGACATACAGATGGCCAACAGACACATGAAAAGATGTTCATCATCACTAATCATCAGGGAAATGCAAATCAAAAGCAAAATGAGATATCATCTCGCACCTATCAAAATGGCTTTTATCAAAACAACAACAAATAACAAGTGTTGGTGAGGATGTGGATAAAAGGGAACCATCATGCACTATTGGTGGAAATGGAAATTGGCACAGTCACTGTGAAAAACAGTATGGAGGTTCCTCAAAAAATTAAAAATAGAACTACAATATGATCCAGCAATTCTACTTTTGGGCATTTATCCAAAGAAAACAAAAACACTAACTCAAAAAGCTATATGCACCTCCATGTTCATTGTAGCATTACTTATAATACCCAAGATATGAAAACAACCTAAGTGTTGGATGAATGCATAAAGAAGATGTAGTATGTATATAAATGGAATATTATTCAGCCATAAAAAAGGAATGAACTCTTGCCATTGGCAAAATCATAGATGCACCTAGAGGGTATTAAGTTAAGTGAAGTAAGTCAGAGAAATATAAATACTGTATGATTTCACTTGTGGAATCTAAAAAACAAAACAAATGAACAAACGTTAACAAAACAAAAACAGACCCACATACAGAAAATAAATTGCTGGTTGCCAGAGGGGCGGGATACAATATAAAATATATATATATATATTTTTAAATAATTTTTAAAAAATATTAAAAATATTCCCCAATAATGGAAATAGGTGTGGGATATTAAGAGGTAGAAACTTCTGGTTATAAAATAAATGTCATGGGGATGTGATATACATCACAGGGAATATAGTCAATAATATTGTAATAACTGTATGGTGACAGTAACTAGACTTATTGTGATCATTTTCTAATAAAAAATATTGAATCACTATGTTGTACATCTGAAACTAATATAATATTGTAAGTCAATTATACTTCAGTTTTTAAAAAATTAAAGAAAAAACCCCCACGGGTCTGAGTTTTCCTAATGAGCTTTTCAACATGATTCTTAAAAGATGATAGTGTAGATTTAAGGGTGTCAGCAAGTATAGGTCTGTGTGATCAAAAGAGAAAGGCACTTGGCTGGGTGTTGGAAAACCTAGATTTTGGTTTCAGTTGTGCGCTCTGGCTAACACAAATGGTCACTTTTAAGATGCACCTATCATTTTTTGAGCATGTGCTAAGTGCTAATAATTCATTTAATCCTCTTTAAAGCTCAAGTTTCCTTATTTTACTGATAAAACTATGTGTTAGGGATGTAAAGCAATAACCCAAATCACCAAAATGGTAGTAGGTTTCCAAACACACATCCTGCCAAACACCAGAACATCCTTGGCTTTCTCTGTCTACTTACCCCTTTGCAAGACAGCTTTCTAATACTTGATTATCCTTCCTTCTTTCACTTGGTTTATTTTTTCTCTATGCTCTCCTTCTGCGTTTTAGGGAAAAGGGAATTTTAAAACGTTGTTTTTATTGTTTCCTATTGGGTTTCTCCATTTCTCCCCGGGCAGATTTGTCTGGCTTGTTACCATGCCAGCAGCCAAAGTCTATTCACTCCAGTTTCCTGAGGGTTCAGTGGTGAGAAGTATCAGAATCCAGGGGCTGCTTTTCAAAACAGATTCCTGCCAGCGATTCTGGCATTCCTCTTATTTACTCTCCTCCTCCAGCTACTCATATACACACTGGCTTAAAGGCTGCAGAAGAGCGAATGAAGAACTCTGGCTTATTACTTTCTAAAAACAGGACCTGTCATACTTCTGCAACCTTTGCACTAGATTTTAAGATGTTTCACTGGGAACAAAAGCATTCCTTTCTGGATACCTCATAAGATTTGCCAGTTAAGACTAAGTTAAATAATTCCCACTGTTTTCTTGGTAAGAAATATCTGCTAAAGCCCTCCTGCTTCTAAATTCACAGACGTCTTGTAAAACTTTCAAGAGAACAAGCTTCTTAACTGTTGTAAGCCTCTTGAAGAGCCACCTTAGAGTCAAGCCAATGTCAGAAGTGGGTTAATTACTGAAGGAACAACTATAGGCACCTATTCAGTCCTAAAGCTGTGTACCTTGGACGAACATGTGTCACCTTAATTTCTGCGTAAGAAAATGGAGCCAGCTTCAGCTATTGTTCCTCTAAAAAGTAAGAGCATCATGTCGCTTGTAAACGCAGACTTAATTACACTATCAGATGTCCCACAGCTGAGAAGTTTTAAGAGCAACAATACAACTGTCGGTATTTTAAAATAACAATGCAGACTCTAAGGCTGCTGCAAGTACCACTTTTAATTGTTGGTTAAGTCTAGTCCTAGTTTTATGTGCAGGAGCTTAGACGGAGATGCTTTGATTGATGGCAAGAGGTAGCAAAAGCCAGAAGCCGAGAAAGACTAGGGTACCTCCTGAGATAGGGACCCGGGCCATACACTTCATCTCTACAGTCTTCCCCAAATTCCCTTCCCACATTTTACAGAACTAATCCCTACAGCCACTGTATTTCCACTGCATTCTGTTATTACCTCTGTTAATAGCCTCAGTGTTGTTATCTGCTCAGCAACAATGTGTTCTCCCTTCTTCTGGTTACTTCTGAACGAATAACAAACGCCTTTTAGGGAAACAACCTTTTCACCAAACTCAGTCTGTGAGATTCAGATGGTACTGTCCCTACTTCCCAGACTCAAAGTATGGACATGATCAGAGCTAGTTAGTGCTAACCCCAGGACTTTTGCAGGCAAAGAGGCTCTCTTTTCTGCTGGGGTAAACTGGTAGGAGGTGAGCTGGAATGTTGAGGGGCTCACACAGGGAAAGCCCACCTGAGATTGAAGCCAACATAAGGAAATGGAGTGACTAAATGACACTGAACACCTGGACCCAAACTATCTACCTTTGGACCCTTTAGTTACATGACCAATAAATTTCCCTTTTGCTTAAGCTAGGGTGAATTAGGTCTCTGATTCACATAAGCACGTATCACATTGTATGATGAATATTGTTTATCCAGCACTTTGCCTCATAAAGAAGGTGAGTTTCTTTGGGGCTGGCAGGGACTGGGTCTAATTATCTGTGTGGACCAGGGGCCTAGCTAGCACAGTGTCAACCGAGTAAATTATAATCATTACCACTGAGTGATTAAACAGTGCCAGGACTGCTGTAAGTCTTTACAGGGGCTCTCTCACTTCACTCCCTTAACAACCCTATAAAGTGGGTACTATTTAATACTGCTCTGATTTTACAAATGAAAAATTTGTGGCACAGAAGTTGAAACACCTTGCCCAGGGCCACACAGCTGGTAATCTGCAGAGCCAGGCTCTTTATATAATCAATCACAAAATTATAGTAACAGCTACTCCCTTGTAATTTCACCCTCCAGAAATAACTATTAAAATAATTTGGAGACTACTGCTTCAGAATTCACTGCATAGTTACCCCATTACAACAACAATAATAATAGCTAATAATCATATAATGCTTAATGTGTGTCAGACACAATTCTAAGAGTTACACATATTAACTCCATCTTTCAACCCTCTAGTCTCATCCCCCTTTTACAGTGGAGAAAACAGAGGTTAAACAAGAGGTTAAGGTCAAGTTAATAAATGGTGAGCTGGGATTTGAACTTAGGCACTCTGGCTCCAGTGTCTGTGCTCTAACCACAGCACTGTCCTGTCCTAATGCTGAGTCATTTTTCAGTAAGTGAATGAATGAAAGGAAAGTGAATGTAATCAATCCTCTGTTAGGAGAGGGGAAGGCTGAGTAAAGAAATGGAATTATTTCTTAGCCTGAGTCAATTATTAATTCAGTAGAGTTCCCATATTTGTGGTGGGATATGACTTCCCTTAAGAGTTAACAAAACTGGGGCTTCCCTGGTGGCGCAGTGCTTGAGAGTCCGCCTGCCGATGCAGGAGACGCGGGTTCGTGCCCCGTTTCGGGAGGATCCCACATGCCGCGGAGCGGCTGGGCCCGTGAGCCATGGCCGCTGAGCCTGCGCGTCCGGAGCCTGTGCTCCGCAAATGGGAGAGGCCACAACAGTGAGAGGCCCGCATAACGCAAGAAAAAAAAAAAAAAAGAGTTAACAAAACTATGTTTGAATATAAACTTCTAAAGACTGTTTGGCAAATAAATGATCTGAGGATTATGTCCTTTGAGAGTCTTCTGTGCTTTAGTGTCCTCTATTGTCACAGGGAGTGGGCACCATTAGGTTTGCCTCCCCGGCATTCATTCCAGCCCTCCCTCCACTAGACAACAGAGTTTGGGTGAGACTGACCCACTTCCTGCTCTGCGTGTGGACCAATGAGTGCAATCTCTCCCATCCCAGTGACTGGTTCAGGAATGGGCAGTAACCTAGGCCTAGAATACAAAGCATTTCCTGACCACAGTGGCTGTTCAAGTTGGTTCAATCTAAGGCTTTTGTTCACTGCGGGGAAGGCGACCCCTCAGCCTTTCATAAAGAGAATACTGTGGCTGTTCCTGGCAACCATGTATAACTATGCAGGAAGCCTAAAGACAGAGCCAATACAAAACAGAGAGAAGAGCAAAATTCTGATCAAACCTAGGGGCAAATGAAGCCCAAACTACCTTCTGGACTCCTCTGTTACACAAGCAAATAAATTTCCTTTATTTAAACCAATTTGAGTTGGATCTTCTGGTATTTTAGCATTTTGGCTATAAAGCATGGATAATCAGAAAATGATTTAGTGATTCATCATACAAGAGAAGTTGTGAAAAGTGACCAACTCACCGGTAGTATTCCAGGACGGGCTCTGTTTGGGCTTCATAAGCCTTCAGTCTCTTGACAACCGTCTCTGGTCTATCATCCTCACGCTGAATAAGAGGCTCCCCAGTCAGATCATCAATGCCCTAAATGGGAGTTAGAAGATGCTGGCATCAAATATCATATTTTTGAAGGATATTTTTATAGGTAGTTAACTGATTTTTAAACAGACATCTATGCAAGCAGCAAACAAAAATGTGTTTTTAAATAAATGGAATCAAATCCAAATCCAGGTCATTGCAACACAGAGCGATGAGAACCCCACGATCATTTCCACAGTGTCAATCACCTTCTCTTTAGAGCAAAAGGTTTTCTAAACAGCCTCTAGATAATTTTATATTATATATTTATGTTATTATTATATATATTACATTAAAAACATGTATATACAAAAAGATTCAGCTACAGACTGGGAATCTCAACTGCAAGCCCTAAATAACCCAAGGTGTCGTTAATCCCTACTGCCCCAATTTCTAACACACTTCCTGGCACAGGGTAGGAAATCAGTACATGCTTTTGAAGGAATAACAAATCCCGGTTGCTCCTGGGGATGCCTTTACTACCAAGCTGACTGGACTAGACCAGATGACTACACCAAGTAACCTGAGAACATGCCCTCAGGAGTTCTGGTCATCCGAAGGTATCCAAAGTCACCTGTGAGTGCAAGAGGACTGGAGACAGTTGGCTACGCATAAGGCCAAGTCAGTTCCCCCCTAAATACTCACCATGGTTTTGGGAGGGTTGAATTCGATGTTGTAAACACGGCCACTGCATGGATGGATCCAGCGAGCAGTGAGGCGTTGCTTGATGACCTCAAAGGGCACGTTCAGATTAATCACTGTGTCTATCTGATAAGCTCTATCCAGAGCTTCTGCCTGTGGAAGTGTCCTTGGAAAACCTTTACAAAGTAAATTAAAAATGAACAAAGGGGGCTTCCCTGGTGGTGCAGTGGTTGAGAGTCCGCCTGCTGATGCAGGGGACAAGGGTTCATGCCCTGGTCCGGGAAGATCCCACATGCCGTGGAGCGGCTGGGCCCGTGAGCCATGGCCGCTGAGCCTGCGCGTCCGGAGCCTGTGCTCCGCAACGGGAGAGGCCACCACACGAAGAGGCCCACGGACCGCAAAAAAAAAAAAAAAAAAAAAAAATTAACAAAGGAAGAAAGAGCCATGGGGAGAAAGGGGAGAAGGAAGAAAATTAGTTAATATTGAGCAATCTGAACAAAAGCAATAACACCAGGAAGGCTGATGACAACCTTGTTATAGTTGTAGGGCAGCCGTGATAGTTAATTTTATGTGTCAACTTGTCCAGACCACAGGTTGCTCAGATATTTGGTCAAACAGTATTTTGGGTGTCTGTGAGGGTGTCTTTTGGGGTGAGATTAACACTTAAATCAGTTGACTGAGTAAAGCAGATTGTTATCCCTAATGTGGATACGCTTGGTTAGAATAAAGCTGCTGGCCTCCCCAGAAGATAAAGGGGAATTCCTCCTGCCTGACTGCCTTGCAACAGGGACATGGCTTTTTCCTGCCTTTGAACTCAAACATCACCTCTTCCTGGGTCTCATCTGCCTTCAGACTGGAACTACACCATCACACCACCGGCTCTCCTGGGTCTCCAGGTTCCTGACTCACTTTGAAGATCTTAGGACTTGTCCACCTCCATAACTGTGTAAGCGAATTCCTTATAACAAACACCTCTCTCTAGAAACTAAAAATCAACATATCCTCAAGGATCCCGCCACACCTCTGGCTGGGGAATGTTTACAGCTGATTGTAAGTTACTCTCCAGCCTTCCTTCTTCCTTTTGTGATCCTCCCTTATCCTAAATGTTCTCAAAAAGCGGGGAAGGAACAAAAAGTCATATCTGAAGGAGCTTAGAAATCATGCAGTCCACTTCCCTCTTTGCATTTAAAAAAAGCAGGCCAGAGAAGATGACTGGCCCCCAAGGCCCCAGGGTGGGGAGTGGCAGCACTCAGGTCCCCTGCCCACCATCCATGTCTGTAGCGCATGAAATCCTCACTCTCCTGTCTGCATGCATCCTTTCGGGCAGCTGAAATATTCTCAATATTCCACTTACCATCCAATAGCCAGCTATATTGGGTGAGATTTTTCAGCTCATGAAGGACCAACCGAGTCATGACATCGTCTGGGATGAGCTTCCCTTGGTCAATGAAAGTCTTGGCTAACACACCAATTTCTATAGCAGAAGCGGGAAAAAAGAAAAATCAGCAAGTGCATCTATTCTACCCCATTCTAGTCCTCTAGGAAATTGGTTACCTAAAGAAACCCCCTGGATAACACACTCATTTGAAAATGTGCATCATCAACTTTTGTGATAAAAACAGAGATTACAAAATAATCTAAGCCTATTTCAAAATCTGCATTACATAAAAATAATGGAAAGCTATAAACCAATATGTTAGCAGTAGTCATCTCTGTGATAGAATTATGTTATCTTTTCTTTTTTTTAACATATTTTCACTTTTCTGTGTTTTTCTAAATTTTCTATGGGAAAAAATATATATACTAACTGAAATTATTTTCTTTTTAAATAAGAAACTGAAATAGTCATTATTTTTAAGTGGCTCAGTTTAAGTGCCGGCAATCATGTTACTATAGAGATTTTTCTAATCCTCTAAAAGAGATGCTGCTGTCACAATTCAGTTTTTGACCAGATCAGCACTGTGATCATGTTATATTTTTATTAATGAAATACCTGAAAAGAATTTCTGAATAACTTTTCTATATTACCTATAATTGTATATCATTCGTACACAACAGTATTTTCATTTCCTCATCATCTCTTACCAAACTATTTACACACATTCAGAATTTTTCATGCCACTGTAAAAACCTGTGTACTTATAGTTTTGTGTTCTTTTTTCACTTAGCATCATTTTGTAAATATTTTTCAGTGATTTTATATAGTCATTTAGTCATTTTTGGTAACTAATACTCCATCAGTATATGTCTATGTTTGATAAAAATATACTCTTTCGGACTTCCCTGGTGGCACAGTGGTTAAGAATCCGCCTGCCAATGCAAGGGATACGGGTTCGAGCCCTGGTCCGGGAAGATCCCACATGCCGCAGAGCAACTAAGCTCGTGCGCCACAACTACTGAGCCTGCACACTAGAGCCCGCGAGCCACAACTACTGAAGCCCGCGTGCCGCAACTACTGAAACCTGCACGCCCTAGAGCCCGTGCTCCGCAACAACAGAAGCCACCACAATGAGAAGCACGAGCACAGCAACGAAGAGTAGCCCCTGTTCGCCACAACTAGAGAAAGCCCATGTGCAGCAATGAAGACCCAACGCAGCCAAAAAAAAAAAGTCTACAACAACAAAAAAAAAACTATAAAAAAAAAATTAAAAATATATACTCTGTCATGTCAATATATACTGTTAGACATTAAAATTTTTAAATTAGTCTTGATTTTTCCTTACCACTTCTGCTTTTAAAGATCTTAACACTCTTTTTTTTCTTTCTTTTTTTTGGGGGGGGGTGCTTCTGGGTTATTTCTGATGGATAAATTCTCAGGATTCAGAGATTAAACAGTCAAAGTTTATGACTGTTTTCATGGACACCAAGGGGGGAGAGAGGGTGGGATGAATTAGGAGATTGGGATTGACATATATACACTACTATGTATAAAATAGATAACTAATGAGAACCTACTGTATAGCACAGGGAACTCTACTCAGTGCTCTGTGGTGACCTAAATGGGAAAGAAATCTAAAAAAGAGGAGGTATATGTATACATATAACTGATTCACTTTGCTGTATAGCAGAAACTAACAACGTTGTGAAGCAACCATAGTCCAATAAAATTTTTTTTTTAAGTTTATGACTGTTTTCATAATTCTTGGTATGGACTGACATGCTGACTTCAGAACATATCCTAAATTGTCAAATTCATGAAACCTTAGATTTCTAACTAAGCACATTAACTACATGGAAATTGGCTGCCATTTGACAGGTGTACTGCTTGGGTTTATGAACAGCATCTGAAAGAGGCCCTGGGTTCTGAGAGCGCCCAGGACTCTCTAAAACTCTCTTGGAAAGGCCCACATACTTAATATTTAATATGTGTGCACCTCTCTATTGTCAGGGTTTTGACCACTGCTATGGGGGACATAGAGCTCAAACTCAGTATTGAGGAAAATAGTAATTCTCCAGGGCTGAGTCCCTAAAACTAGTATTGGTCCCTCCCCTCCCCTCTCACTCTTCAGGCCAAGTCCTCAACTAATAGCAACAAATGGACTGAGATGATGGGATTAACTAATAAAGTACTTACTTTTATATTAAGTATAAGAATAGCCTTATTCTTATAGCCTTAAGACTGTAGCCAGGGCAATGAGTCCAGAAAAAGAACAAAAGGCATCCAGAAAGGAAGAAGTAAATTATCTCTATTTCCAGGTGACATGATCTTGTATTTAGAAAATCCTAAGGAATCTACTAAAAAACTATTAGAACTAATAAATGAGTTCAGCAAAGTTGCAAGGTACAAGATCAAAAGTATACAAAAATGAACAATATGAAAATGAAATTAAGAAAATTCCATTTACAATTGTATCAAAAAGAATAAAAAACTTAGCAATATACTCTTTTTAAAAAGCACAAAACTGGTAATCTGAAAACCACAACATTGTTGAAAGAGATTAAAGAAGACCTAACTAAATGGAAAGATAGCTTATATTCGTGGATTAGAAAAGTTAATATTAAGATGGCAAGACTCCTTGAAAATGATCTACAGATTCAATGCAATCCTATCAAAATCCCAGCTGGTGTCTTTGTAGAAACTGACAAAATGACTGTAAAATTCATATGGAAATGCAAGGTATCCAGAATAGCTGAAAACAATCTTGAAAAAGAAGAACCAAGTTGGAGGACATACACTTCAGATTTCAAAAGACTGTTTGTACTGGCATAAGGATAGACATAATGTTGCTATGAATATTCATATATAAGTTTTTGTGTGAACACATGGAACAGAAATGAGAGCCAAGAAATAACCCCTCACATTTATGGTCAATTGATTCTCAACAAGGATACCAAGCCAATTCAATGGGGGGAAGAAATAGTCTTCTCAACAAGTGGTGCTGGGAAAACTGAATATCCATACACAAAAGAACAGGTTAGGTTAGGTGGGCCTCTATCTAACACCATATTAAAAAATTAACTCAATATGTATATCACAGACTTAAATATAAGAGCTAAAACTACAAAACTCTTAAGTGGACTTCATTAAAACTGTTATGCTTCAAAGAACACCATCACCAAAGTGAAAATCCAATCCACTGAATGTGAGAACATTCCTGTAAATCATATACCTAATAAGGAACTTTTATCTAGACTATCTAAAGAATTCTTACGACTTAGCATTTAAAAAGGAAATCCATTTTTTTAAATGGGCAAAGGATCTGAATACAAAAAAACAGATATACGAATGGCCAATAAGCACATGGAAAGATGCTCAACATCATTAAGTCATTAGGGAAATAACAAATGGAAACCACAATGAGATATCACTTCACACTCACCAGGATGGCTGTAATCAAAAAGACATAACAACAAAAAAAGACAAATGTTGGCAAGAATGTTGAGAAATTGAAACCCTCATATATTGCCTGTGGGATTATAAATGGTATAGGCAATTTGGAAAACAGTGTGGCAGTTTTTCAAAGGTTTAAACAGAGTTACTACATGACGCAGCAATTCAACTCAGGTATATTTTTCCAAGAGAAATAAAAATGTAAGTTCACACGAAAACTTGTATGTGAATGTTCACAGCAACGTTATTCACAATAGCCAAAAAGCGAAAACAACCCAAATCTTCATCAAATGACAAGTGGGTAAATAAAATGTGGAATATCCATACAAAATTATATTGTTTAGCCATAAAAAGAAGTGAAGTACTGATACATGTTGCAAAGTGTATGAACTTTTTTTTTTTTTTTGGCTGCGTTGAGTCTTTGTTGCTGTGCGCGGGCTTTCTCCAGTAGCAGCGAGCAGGGACTTACTCTTCATTGCGGTGCGTGGGCTTCTCATTGCTGTGGCTTCTCTTTGTTGTGGAGCACAGGCTCTAGGCACGCGGGCTCAAGTAGTTGTGGCACGCAGGCTCTGTAGTTGTGGCATGCAGGCTCAGTAGTTGTGGCACATGGGCTTAGTTGCTCCGCAGCATGTGGGATCTTCCCGGACCAGGGCTCGAACCCGTGTCCCCTGCATTGGCAGGTGGATTCTTAACCAGTGCGCCACCAGGGAAGTCCCAAAGTGTATGAACTTTGAAAACATGCTAAGTGGAAAAAGCCAGACACAAAAAACCCACATATTACATCACACCATTTATACGAAATGCTCAGAGTAGGCAAATCTAGAGAGACAGAAGGAAGATCAGTGGTTGTCCAGGGCTGGGAGCATTGGGGGAAAATAGAGAGTGACTACTAATGGGAATAGGGTATCTTTTTGGGGTGATAAAAATGTTTTAAAATTGATTGTGGTAATGGTTGCACAACTCTGAATGTAATTTTAAAAAAACACTGATTCATAGTTTAAGAGGGTTAATTTTATGTAATGTGAATTATATCTCAATAAAGATTTTTTTTTTTTAAAAAAGTAGGACTTCCCTAGTGGCACAGTGGCCTGCCAATGTAAGGGACACAAGTTCAAACCCTGGCCCGGAAAGATCCCACATGCCGTGGAGCAACTAAGCCCGCGCACCACAACTACTGAAGCCTGCATGCTCCAGGGCCCGCATGCCACAACTACTGAGCTTGCATGCTGCAACTACTGAAGCCCGCACACCTAGAGGCTATGCTCCGCAAATGGACAAGCTACTGAAATGAGAAGCCCACGCACCGCAACAAAGAGTAGCCCCCACTCGCTGCAGCTAGAGAAAGCCCGCACACAACAACGAAGACCCAACACAGCTGAAAAAAAAAAAATTAAAGATGAAAAATACCTGGTAAGCAAAACAAAAGAAAAAAAAAAGCCACTCATAAAACCAACACTGCTCAGGAATAATTATCATCAAAACTGATAATATAGGGCTTCCCTGGTGGTGCAGTGGTTGAGAGTCCGCCTGCCGATGCAGGGGACACGGTTTCGCGCCCCAGTCTGGGAGGATCCCGCATGCCGCGGAGCGGCTGGGCCCGTGAGCCATGGCCGCTGGGCCTGCGCATCCGGAGCCTGTGCTCT